CATCACCGGGTCACGTAAGACATGGGCGCTGCGGGTAATCCATTGAGTTGTATACGTTCAACCAACAAAATATTCCATCTCAACAGTCTCAAATCATCGGTCAATCAACAGTTTTTGACTCAGATGAAACTGAATCACAATACTCAGATGAAACGGAACCAGAGGTCAACATCATTGATGTAGAAGAAGAAGGAAGTGGGACATTGATAGATCAATTGTTGAATGAAAATGTTGAAGATGACAAACAAGTACCAATACCTCCAGGTCATGCATACTATCCGCCTCAACATATGACATACTTGGACTTGCAAGACAATGAGAGATCCACATATATGTTTCACAACTTGTATAGATGGTAAGAGAATGAGTTAAAAGTTGGAGAGAAGTTTTGTACCAAGGAGGATTGTGTACGATCCATTAAAAATATCACATGGATAAGTCTGTTGATTTCAATGTACAACGAACTGATTTGAGAAGGTATGTCATTATTTGTCGTAATCCACTTTGCAAGTTTCGGCTTTCTGCGTCTTACAGCAAGATAAGTGATTCTTGGATGATAGCTTCCATAGAGCCACCTCACAGTTGCACTGCCATAAATATTGTTCACGATCACCGAAAGCTAAGCGCATAATTGATATGTCAAGAAATTTTTCCGCTTGTTAACAAGGATCCTTCAGTCAAGTGAGTATAATAACCTCTCATATCGTAACGCGGTATAATTATACTCCATCGTACAAGATGGCGTGGATTGCAAGGACAAAGGTTGTTGAACAAGTATTTGACAACTGAGAGGATTCATACAAAGAATTACCGCGATTTTTGGTAGCGCTAAAGACATATACACCAGGAACTGTTGCAATCATGCAGACAGCGCTTGCATGTAGGCCAGATGGAACAACTGTTGATGGAAATGTCATATTTCACCGTCTTTTTTGGTCGTTTCAACCATGCATAAGAGGTTTTGCATTCTGCAAACCTGTTATTCAAATTGATGGAACATGGCTCTACGAAAAATACAAGGGCACCTTGCTTATGCCTGTTGCACAAGACGGTAACAATAATGTCTTTCCCGTAGCCTTTGCCCTGGTTGAGGGTGAGACTACTTCTTCTTGGAGTTTCTTCCTTAAGAATCTCAGAACACATGTCGCTCCACATGCCAACGTCTGTTTGATTTCAGACAGGCATGCTGCTTTAGAGAGCGCGTACAATAACCATGATAATGGGTGGCATAATCCTCCTTCTACCCATGTGTATTGTTGTTTCCCGTGAAAATTGGAAAATAACAGGTGATCTTCCAAATCTAACTTTGGTGACTCACAGGATCGATCAGAGTGATCCTAGGACATGTGCTAAATTTTAATTCAAAGTAAATTCTAAAGACTAAACACTTCGACAGTGTTTATGAAGAAAAGTTTATATTAAGAGTATGGTTCGACTGAGACATAAAGGCATTAAATCGAAAGAAGGGTTGGAGACTTAAAGAAAAGCTTAAAAGAAACAAGACATAATGTTGAAGATGTAAATTGCAATAAAAGATAAAAAAAATTGATACAAAGTGAAAGTAAATTTCATTAAAGAAGAAAAATGGTGTTTTACATCACGTACATTCTCCCAGGACTCTTTTCTCTACATACGGATACTTTGAGAAAATTTGGAGTGGCTTGTACAAAATGAACACAACAAACTGAATCCTATTGCTAGAAACTCTCTTTATAATAATAAAATTAACTATTGTTAACTTCCTAAGATAATCAACATCTGAAAAGTGTTGCGCTGCATGCTTCTGCCTCTTGGATGTGCGCCACTTGTCTTATTCAGGAGTGGAAAAGAATAACTACTCCCTCCTTTATTTGAATTTCAAATTCCCTTAGTATTGGACATCATTCTTGGTAGAAAGGAGCTTCTTAACTCTTAGAAATATTTTCTAAGTCCCAAAAAGTTTGTCTTCCTTATGTAAGTGCCTTCGATTTAGCCCACCTTAAAAATCCAGTCGAAGACTCCTTTACACTATATCAAGAATTTAACATTCCAACCAATATTTCCAATTTAACATGGGCGTTGAATTTCTAAGCTAACAATTGCATTAGACATATTGCACAAAACTTCATGCGTGCAATCAAAGACAAGAACCTTGGCAAAAAAGTTGTGAATGCCGGGTATGCTCTAACTCAACCAACATTTCAATACTACCTTAACGAAATTAGGATGTCAAATGCAGATGCAGGAAGCTGGTTAGACAACATTCCACTCGAAAAGTGGACAAGGGCTTTTGATGGTGGATGTCGTTGGGGCCACATGACGGCAAACCTTGTGGAATCCATGAACGGGGTATTCAAAGGAATTAGAAACCTTTCAATCACCGCTTTGGTGAGATCAACATATTATAGGTTAGCATCACTTTTCGCAACAAGAGGCAAGAGATAGAGTGCAGTGTTAACGTCCAGTCAGGTATTCAGTGAAAGCATTATGAAATTGATGAAAGAGGATACTATCAAAGTTAACACACATGCAGTTACAGTCTTTGATCATCATAGGAAAACATTCAGTGTACAAGAAATAATGGACCATAATGAGGGGAGACCCAATTTATCCTATGTCGTCAGACTAAACAGATGTTGGTGTGACTCTGGCAAGTACCAAGCCTTCCGTGTACCTTGCTCACATGTCATTGCAGCATGTGCACATGCTCGTCAGGATGCTTATGGCTATCTATCTGATGTCTACAAGGCGATTAATGTTATGAACGTATACAATGAAGGCTTCGCAGTGCTACCAATGGAGGATTATTGGTCTCTATACCAAGGTGACATAGTTTGACACAACGATGACATGAGAAGAAAGAAAAAGGGACACCCAAACAGTAAGCGTATAAGAATCGAAATGGATACGGCTGATAAAATGATAAGATTGTGCAGTATATGTCGTTGGCCAGGACACAACCGAAAAAAATGTCCCAATGTCGGAGGCACATCTGCATCATGATTTAGCTTATCGTTTCATCTGTTGTAACAAAATATTTTCATATATTGACGAGTCTTTGTTACATCGGTCTTAACAACAAACAAGACTAACAACACATAACACATACTAATTTCATAAAACATAAAACATTAATTAGATGATTACGACATTCCTAACTGATTACAACAATCAAACTAATTTCATTCGGTTCAAACATGACTTCCCTCGCATCTTTGTCTGTCTTAACACGAACTCATCCATGCAGCCGATCAAGTCTCTCGATACTACATATCTTTTCCTTTTCACCAATGTCTCCTTCCAACCACTGATTCAACTTCCTCTTAAGTTGATTAAAACTTTGTATGCTCCAAAACAACATGTCCATCAGAGGCTTCTCTCTTGAATAAACGACTTTTCCCCACCGACGACAATACATGTTATCAGCAGAACAAAGATATCAGATGAAATGTGGAAGTAAATGATCAGAACACCTCTATTTATAGAAAAAAATTCAAAATACAGGGATCTCCAGATGAATTGGCAACACCCTTGTAAGTACAACACCTAGTCGCCAATTGGATTGGAGACTACATGAGCAGTCTCCAATACAATTGGCGACTCCCTTATAGCCTTAACAAGGTGTCGCCAATTCATCTGACTCCCTTGTGTAATCCCAAATTCTAACTGGAAATACTTTAAAAATAATTTTAAAATGTGGGTTATTTTAGAATGTTTTTTAAAAAAGTTGAGTTATTTAGATAAAAAATTCGAAAGAAAGAATATAAAATACACGGACTTTTAATATAAAAACAATTATTTTTTTAAATTTATTAAAAAACTAATGTATCTAAACTATATGTTGACCCACATTTATTTTTCAATAAATCTAAATGGTAAAAATTTTCTTATATATTAAAGATTAAAAACAGTATTATTTTACTAATAACATTTGAAAAAATATTGAAAATTAGAAATTTAAGTCAAACATATTCAATGTATTAAATACACAAATATTTATTACTAGTATTTTGTGTGAATACTTATTAGTATTTTACTGATAACATTAAAAGATTATTGAAAATTAAAAATTTAAATTTCAATGTATTAAATAATTTTATTTATTTAAATAATTATTTTCATTCTTTTAACAAAAACATTGTTAATATTTTCAGTAATTAAAAATGATACCCATTTGCACAGTAGATTGAGTACAGAAAAACTTTAATGTTTCATTTATTAAAAGAAAAAAAGCAGTACAATTTCCCCTGCCCCCAATCCCAAATACCCATGGCCTTCGTACTCCACAAGAAATCTCCATCTCTCATTTCACTTTCTCATCACTACCTGCCAAAATAACCCGTCAAAAAATAATGTACTAATTAATTTTTAAATTATAAAATCTTCACCAAATGCTCTCTATTGCCACGACCACTCAACACATTGGAGAGGTTTTCTATAACGCAAGAAATCCACAACTCGAGGGGCATCTACCCGATATTCCACGTAATTTCAAGGGCAATAAAGTAAATTTCAACCCAACGAAAAACCAATGCGTATATCGCACGATAGTAATCTTCAACACGCGTCGCTAAGCTAAATGCTCTGTGATTGCCTTTTGGGTACCAAAATTATAAACGCCATGTAGGATCCTACGTGGTATAAATAGTCCACGTCACCATCTCTTCATCTTCACTATAAATACCAATCCTTTCTCTACTCTTTAATCCTAATCCAAAACGCTTAAAAAGAAAATGAAAAACTAAAATTAAAATCAAAACCAAAACCACAGAACTCGCTGCCGGCCGGAGAAATGAACATCCCGGCGAACATATTTCCGTTCTCCACGAATAATGCACGTTTCGCCGATCATCGCCGCCATGTGTTTCATGAGATTTCTTGCTTCGAAACATTTTTCACCTAGAAGTTTTTCAATACCTTTTCCCTAAAAATGGATAACAGATTATAGAGTAGAGTGCGTAGCTTTTTCGAAGAGTAATTTTGTTTAAAGTTCCTTTGCAATTTTTTTTTGTTGTAAAATCATGCCTCCGATGAAGATCCAACCGATCGACATCGATTCTGAGAAGATGAATCAAATGAGAGCGGTGGTTCGAAACGACGCCGTTAAGCCTGTGTTGAAATCGCGCCTCAAAAAGCTCTTCGTGTTCGACCGGCAATTTTCAAACGTTTCAAAGACTTCCTCGAAACTTATCGCCGGCGAAGTTCCACTAACTGGCGATAGGTTTAACGAACATTTCGAGCCGAACTCAGTTTGCTTAGCTAAAATGGTCCAGAGTTTCATTGAAGAGAGTAACGATAAGCATGCGCCGGTGTCTAAATTTGCTCGCAACAGCTGCAATTGCTTTAACGGAAACAGTAACGATAGCTCCGATGAAGAACTTGATTTCTTCGGTGAATCTATCACTTCTGGTTCTGTCAATGACTCCGGTGATGCGCTCAAGGTTACTTCAAGAACTCTAGCTTAGCTAGCTTTATAGATTTACTTTATCTTTATTTTTTTTAACATTTTTCTTATTTTCATTATTTTTGGTTGTTGGTACAGAGTTTGATTCCATGTGCGAGTGTTGCGGAGAGAAATCTCTTAGCTGATACATCCAAAATAGTTGACAAAAACAGCAAAGTTTTCAAGAGAAAAAACGATTTGAGGAAGATAGTTGCAGAAAATCTTTCTTCTCTAGGTTATGATTCTTCCATATGCCATTCTAAATGGGACAAAACACTTTCTCACCCTGCCGGTACAATTTTATCCCCAAATTATTTAACATGTAACTGAAAATGATTATTAATTGTAAACGGAAAATTGAATGTAGTGGTTTTGATTTTTTTTATTCAGGTGAATATGAATACATCGATGTGATTGTGGAAGGTGAGAGGTTGATAATTGATATTGATTTTCGATCGGAGTTTGAGATTGCTAGATCGACCGGGACATTCAAGGCGATCCTTCAGTTTCTTCCTTACATTTTCGTTGGAAAATCGGATCGTCTCTGTCAGATCGTTGCTGCTGTATCGGAAGCGGCTAAGCAGAGTTTGAAGAAGAAAGGAATGCACGTTCCACCGTGGAGGAAGGCGGAGTACATGTTAGCTAAGTGGCTCTCCGCCTCCTGTACGAGAGGGAATCCGTCGCTAAACTCCACTGTGCAAAACTTGAAGGAGGATCTCAGCGACCGTGATAGTGCTGCCTCGGAGAGTGTCTGTGGTGAGTTGGAACTGATATTCGGAGAGAAAACATCTTTGCCGGATTCGAAAACTGTTTCCGGTGGTGAGAAAAGCTTGTTGGCGGTGGTGACGCCAACTTGGCAATTACCGGCGGTGAAAGTAAAGAGTGTGGAGAGAGGTGCCAAGGTGGTGACTGGATTAGCCTCCCTACTCAAAGAGAAATCATAAAGAAAATTTTGCACTTTTTTTGGATAACGTTAATTAGAAAAGAAAAAGTTAAATCAAAATTAAAATGACTTTTTTTTGTCATCTTCAGTTTTTACTGGATTTTTATCTTTATTTTTGCAGTATGTTTTTACTAGTTTCCATGTCACTGTAATAAAATAAAATTGCTGAATTAAGTAGGAAATATTCGACAAAAATAGAAGTGGAGAACACTACTTACAAGATGTTTGTTTTAAGACATTAATTAATCCATGTCATATAAAAATGACATTAATTGAGTAATACAAAAAAACTTTTATTTTTAAATACAAATTCTCAAATACACTAATTAAATATTGGACGCGAAAGATAGATGGATTATGTTCACTTTTATATTTTAATATTTAAATCAGCCGTATTACTATTGCAATGTGCACTAACTTACCATGGAAGAACTTGGTCATAATTGGCCGAGCAAATGGGCCATTTCAAAAATGCCAAAACTACTGGGGAATTTCTTTTCCACCTCTATAAGGTGTCTTTGCATATCTATTTTTTGATTAATTTTTATTTTTAAATTCAATGAGTTTTTCATAAATATATTTTCAAATGTGTTTAATTTATGTTGTTTTTGTTTAAAAAATTATTTGGTTAATTTCTCCGAAGGTGGTCAGGTGAAATCACAACAGTGAAGTGATTTTGGTGTTTTAGAGATGGATGAATGACCACCATTGTTGGTGGTCCAAGGTTTTTCATGTGTTTTTTTTATTAATGGTTGGTCTCAAGAGCCTATTCATATTGCAAGTCTTGTCTCCTTGGATATTGAAGAGGCGTGATATTAATATGTTTTAATAACTATTAATAATTTGAAATCGATTTATCATTAACCATTGATTGTTCTAGGAATATTATAATGGTTATGACTTGAACGGTCCCTTCAGAGCTCTCGGTAAATTAAGTACCGGATGTGCATGGAACTTGCGGACAGACCCTCTTTTTCTTCTTTATTTTCTGAAACTTTCTTTCAGTCCATTTTTCAAGAATCAATACTACATCTACTTCAAACTTTCCAATCACAACTCACTCCACTAACTACATTCAACATTTTGCATCCCCAACTCTTTTTTTATAGTTTTTTATTTCACTTTTTTGAGTTTTGATTAATGTATTAGATAAAATTGGTTGTTTTAAATGCATTAGGTAGTAGTCACATTCGAAAGAGGTAGTTGTTAGAGACATGCATTCTCATTTGGTTGCATTTTGATAAGTTAAGGCAAGAATGATTTATGTTTCTGCCATTGTTGAGAAACACGAGCTTATTCGGATATGCATATTTTAAATTTCCTGATTGGTTTTCAGATATGCATATCTGAGAAGAGTCTTGGATGTAGACAAAGTCATTTTCTAATTTTTCCCAAGAAAAATGCTGCAAATAACCCTGACTGATTGAGACTCAGTTGTGAAACACAACACGCGTCTGTTCGGCGTGAGATGGCTAGACGTGAGAATGAGTAGTCCAGGCTAGACGGAGAACCATCCATAGGTCTAATACGAGGAAACATCGAATTGTAGAAGTCGCCTGTCTCAGGGGTCCTCATCCTAGGGGAACATCTCCCCTACTCATGAGAATCGAGATGGACCTGAAGCTCCCGAGGCTTATACACAGAAAGCTGCTGTTGTACACAATGGTGTCGTTGCTGAGGGTTATCCAGGAGGGCCCTCTGACACCTCCTTACTGATATACTATAAAGATAATGTTGTTGAGCATGTTTGGCCCGAAGAGGTATATTTGTTAACGGTTGTTATTTATATGTTTTATACAAATTCCCAACGAATGATATTGTTATTTTTTTTAACAGGAGAGCAAATGTTTGAATTTGTTAAACATGATAAGAGTATTTTGGTTTTTTATCAGCCTGAGGATGATTGGTTCCAAAATGTCATCCGATACTTTAGTCTTGTCGGCCTCTGTTGCTTCGGGTACAAGACCATTATCCATGGCATGCACGAGGCTTTTGCTGATATATGGTATAAAGAAACGTAATCTTTCCACTTCCCCATTGGCAAGCTGTCAATTACACTAAATGACGTCGCTTGCCTTCTACACCCTCCCAGAAGGGGGAAGTTACTTGATAATTCCAAGATCCCTCATTATGAAGTCTAGGAGATGATGGTCATTCATCTGGGAGTTGACCCAATTGATGCCCTGATGGAGTGTAAGGGCACCATAGGTTCTCATTCCAGGTTTTCATACATGATGAAGCTATATGAAGAAAACTTGAAGTTGAGCGCGTGGAAGGGTATATTGAGGATTGGCCACATGCTTGCATGTATTTCCCTCTCAAATGGAATAATGTTACACAATCATTCCGTGTGTATATTGACTGGACTTCACATGATAACATCGAATAGATATGATACACCTGTCACTGGGACACTGTTGCCTTTGGCCCCATTTCATTATACACCAGATGGCTGACATGTGGGAGGAATATGATGTGTATGTATCTTCAAGAATTATGCATGTGTCTTTTTGGATATGTGTAGATCATTCTGAGACCCCCCATTTTTGTATGCTCCTAACAGCATCGTCTGCAGACATCTTGATGATATACTGGCGGATTACGAGATTCATTTGGTATTAGAGGAGTATCAGAGGATGTCAGCCACAAGTCAGAGGTCTTATTTTAACAGTTACATGACTTGGTTCTATAGTTTGTCCCACCCTGTCATGACACTAGACACTCCTGGATGTCCACCTATGCCAACTCATGAGGGGATCCTAGAGAATGAGCAGGTCAGGCATGACCTTGCCATTGATGTGTTATCGATCTGTCAAAATACTATGCGGCTTACGTATGAGGGCATAAAGACTGAGAGGTTTGAGAGAGGTGGCAATGATGCAGTTGTCTACGCACATGTCATTCTTACCGAGTCACGTAATGCCTGGGTTACCGATGGTAGAGGAGGATCTAAGGGGTTAGGATTATGCATATGCAGTATATTATTATTATTATTATTTTGTATTTTGGGATGTTTTAGTATTATTTTTTATGCTTTGAGAACAATGCATGTAATATTATGGGAGACTTTTTTAATTAATGCATTACTTTGTTCTATAATGTGTGTGTTTATTAATATTTGAATCAAATTATGAAACTGTTAGTCAAGTTAAAATGATGTTGGCTTAAAAAAAAAATACAAATTTAGGACAATGTTTCTGTCCAAGATGCATGCAAGAAGTTTTTGGAGATGCATATCTAAAATAATGATGTTTAAATAGCTTAATATGCACTCAATGATATTTTCGGAGATGCCTTGCCGAATACAGCCAATAAAATTTTTGCAGATGCATTTTAGCACCAATTTTTGGCAAAATGAGATGGCTACTTGATTTATGAAGGATAAAGTGATTTAAGGTGCATCTGAAGATGCATCTCTGATATCACTGAAGGGCAATTTCGGGTTTTTAGAGGTGTGAGCCACACCTTAAGGATAGAAAAATAAATCCCCAAAGTAATATAGAATTTGGATTTTTGTTTTTGGGGTCAAATTATAAATGTTTTTGTTGAATAAAACCAAATATTGAAACTACTCCAAACACAAGTAAAAAATGAGATGTGATACAAAGAAGATTCATCTCATATATTTATTCCCCCTTAATCCCATAGAAGTTAATATTGATTCTTTTAGGATGGAAAATTTAAGATGCGTCTTATTCAAAAGGAAGCTTTTAAAGTGTATTTAATTTAACTCTATCTCAATTCAAAAGGAAGTTTTTAGAGTGTATTTCATTTAAGACTCTCACAAACATTTTAAGTATTTGTTTTTGTAATGTTGATATAGTTAGAAAGGAAGTTTTTGGATCATCTCAAACCTTGTCCGGAAGAACCCTTTCAGGCTAGTGTAATGTCATCTATTTATTTTATTTGCAACCATTATAGATATAATGTATATTGATGTTGTCAATATGACATATATTTAAATTGGTATGTGCATAAGTTGTTAAGTTAGGTTTTTGAGTAGTTGTCGAGATGTCTAATTCTGATTCTGGTAGAAGATAGTATTATGATGTGATGAGCTATAAAAGGCGTGGTGAGCATAAAGAAACAAATAGAAAGTTGAAAGGTGTTGGATACTAGATGAAGGAAATGTGGATGTCTTTCAACTTGCACATGTAAGGTATAAAGACAAATGTTTGTAAATTTTATATGTTGTGTGGTGTAGGTAACTATGAATTTTATCACAAATTAGTAGACCATTTGATTTTCAACATATTAAATAGTGAAGAAAAGAAAATTGTTGTTGAGATGACAAAGAATATGGTTTTGCCTAAAAAAAACTCACAACTTTGAAAATAAATATCTTTATTGGTGTAACAAATATTAACCAAATTTATAATGTTCGACAGATTGTTTGCATGTATTTTTAGCTAGAAATCACGAGTTTAAACAGTTTGTAAGACTAACTCGAAAAATCCCGGAAGCAATTTTGTGCAAAAATGTGTACAAGAAAATATGTGTGTGAAGTGACTGTAAATGTTTGCATTTGGACAAAGTGAAGACAAACTTTAACGATGAAAATGTTTGAATTAAAGCAAAAGAAAACTAAAATTGATGGCATTAAACGGAACACAGTAAATGACATGAATAGTTAAGTGTTTCAATTAAGAAAACATAAAGACAATAAATAAAAGAGACACGCATTCGCATGTTACTCACAAACTATTTCACTTTTGACTCGGGTACTCCAGTTCTATAAAGAAAGTGTATGAATTTTGTGACCCTGATTACAATGTAAGAATCTACTATTTATATTAAACTAACGACAATTTTCTCCGACAACTTATTCCTAAAAATAGACATGTAGTAAGAACATGAAACTAAGTATTCTAAAGCATTGCCACATTGTCATAACTTCCAAACTACTAAAAACCATTATCCCACGTTTGTAACTACTCTTAACGACTAATAAATGCTTATTCGTCGAAGGTGGTTGCTGAAAGTGCTAAGACCCCTCTCAAG